AGAAATTCCTTCCATTCTTCAAAGTAATTTTTAGGAAGAGGTGTATCCAATTTAATTTTAGAAGCCAAAGCTTTTGTAGAAATATTTTAGCTTTTCTCGTAACAGGTCCAATTAAACCTAACGGATCAAAGAGGCGACCTATTGTTGATAAGACATCTCTTTTCGTTCCTGTTTCTTCAATGTAAAGTAATTTAAATCGTAAGAAAACAGTCTGTAGACGTATTCCATGACATTCCTATGACCTTTTTAATCTGAGGCTTATCCGTAACTTGAAAAAAGTAATCCTGAGTTGCACTTTCTTTATTCTTCAATAATTCTGGATTTTTTTAACACCATTTGTGTAACTGCATTCCACCACGTTCTAGAAGACAAGTTAATTGTGTCTGCAACTCCTTGGCTTCTTGTAGCGTATTAGCTCCAGTGATAATGTCGTCCACGTAACAGTCCTTCAGTATGGCTCTTGAGGCATGAGGAAAATCAGTTGCTTCATCCATTGCTAACTGCTTCAGGACCCTTGTTGCAAGGAATGGTGCACTTGCTATTCCGTATGTTACAGTCCTTAGATGATAAGTCTGCACATGACTACCAACTGATTCTTTCCACAAGATCAACTGCAGATTTCGTTGAGATGGTTCAATAAGTATTTGTCTGTACATCTTCTGAAAATCAGCTCCTAATGCATAGCTGTACTTTCGAAATCTAATAATAATAGAAAATAAATCTTCTTGAGGTATTCGCCCTTTTATTAATATTGAATTAAGTGATTTTCCATTGCTAGTAACCGCTGATGCATTAAACACAACACGAAGCTTGGTAGAGGTTTTCTCTAGCCGATAAACTCCATGATGACTAAGATAATCGCAAGTCGATGTTTCAATTTCTTGAACTTCTTCCATGTGATTTAGATCCTTATATTCTTGATAAATTCTTATATATTTTCATATTTGAATCGCTTTAGTCGATTCCACACTTGATGCAATCTTTTCTCAGCCAGCGTTTTCGATTCTCCTAATTCTACACATTCCCTTATGGGTAACTGAATTACATATCTTCCATCATTTTGTCTATAGTGAGTTCGTCTGAAATGTTCTTCACATTATTTTTCTTCTTCACTCAAAGCATCCTCGATATTTTCAATGGATTCAACTTCCCAAAATCTTTGCAAAATTTCTTCAACTCTTTCTTCACTATTTAGAACCAAACCACAATAATTTATTTCTGAGTTACTTTTGCATGCACCATACGCGATATATCCAAAAAACGTGTTCTGAAATATCAAACGGTTGATTTTAATTGAAATTATGCTTTTTTAAAATCTCAAAGAACAATTCGGCCCCTAATAACATATTATATTTTTTAGGTGTTTCAAATTGCGGATCGCTAATTCAATATCAATGGGAATATTAATGATGCACATCTAAACTTCTTGATGGAGTTACATTGTATTTTAGAAATAACTAAACAATTAACTGATCTTACATATATTAAATCCTTATTCGAAATCTGTACATCTAGTTGATAATTAATATTTATAACGGTCTCTTTTATTCCGGATACAGATGCATAAATTCTTTCTTTCTTAATATTTAACAAATTAGCAACTCTTTCACACAGTTATCAAGTATTGCGGGAACTGGAATTTTTTTTTCCTTCTGAAATGCATATATACTATTGCAGTCGCTAATAACACGTTTTTTCTCCGTGTCAAAAGACAACTTGATTGATTTTTATTAGAGACATCTGCATTCTTGTTTATAATTTCGTCACTCGTTGCTTCCGTTTTTGGTTTGTCTAACTTTTGTTCGATGGCGCCATTTTGAGAAGCGACGGATAATTCATGAATGATGTTTTTATGGCATTCCGAACATCTGAACTTATAATTGCATTTTGGCGATAATGTTCCTACTGAGACAGTTTAGACACAGTTATGGTTTTTTTTAACTATTTCATATTTGATTTGGATTGAGTTTTAAAAATGAATACATTTATGCAGTGGATGATTGTTATTTTACATATAACACAAATCGAAACATTATCGGTTTTAACATCAGAGCCTTGATTCGAATTTTCTAACGGATATTTCATTTTATAGTACTACGGTTAATGTTATCCAATAATGACATCTTTCTCTAAAAGCGAAATTAATTCATCAAACGTAGGAACTTCCGTAGCATTAATGCTGAGTTCAAATTCTTTGCCGCATTTAAAAATCTATTTCTGAAGTACGATATTAATAACAGAATATCCGATAAATTATTTTCTCATATTTTAAAACATTCAAGCCCTAACGTTTTAGTAACATATCTATTACATATCTCAGTCCTTTAGACGATTCGAATGTTAATCCATCATTGACTTTATATGCATCTCAATTGAATATTCTTTATTTTCATACCTATCTGAAGAGCTTTAAATAGAGAATTGAAAGTATCATCAACAGTTTCAAGATTTTTTGCTCAATTAAGGCAGCCTTTAATATAGTAGAGTTTCTGAATTCGTTATTGCGTGTTGCTATGATGTTTACGAATTGAAGCATTAAATTATTCCATTCGGTATATTTACCAGAAAATTAGGAATTGGTAATTCGGCAAACGTATTAGTAGTTTACGATCAAATTATTACAAGCATTTTCAGTTCAGAAATGAGCGATAGGATGATAGAATTTCCACAATTTTACCTCTAGAACTTTCGTTCTTTCTTCAATTTCGGCAATTTCCATCGATGGCTGTGACATCTTTTTCATCAACGCTTTCGAAATATCTATACCTTAAGTTTCTAATATCCATTTCAATGCTTTGAATGGATCTATACTTTATTTGAATTTCGTTTTTATTCGAACTATCATCATATTCCTTCACTACATTTTCTAATCTTGTTAGTTTCGCTTTTAACGAAGTTTTATTTCTACCTAATACCAGCATTTTGTTCATTTCTCCGGCTACTATGACCATGTACTGTGATTCTAAACTAATGAGTGGACTGTATACCAAAAGAACTAACTAATTTATTTACAGTAATTAACTAAATTCAATTCTAATACATGCTCTGGCATGCTGCTTAGCCGAATCCAGATGGCCAAGTGAGAGTTTCTTTCCATATCCCCAATATGTGGCGCTGTATTCTAACTTAACATGATTTAAAAATTCAATTCAAAACATTATGATATAATACCTTAAGAAAACAATTCAATATAAATAATAATATGATACAATTAAGACATTAACACTTTAAATCAAAATTTTGGCATGTCCTCTCCAACAGATCAGCCTGAGTAGCTTGCTGATGGTTGGAGGGTGCTAGGTACAAAATATCAAAAAAACCTCCGTTGCCTAATAGAAGGTAACTGGTTTCTGTAATTGTACATTGTATCAAAGTGTTTTTGTAAAAATACAAAATTCTACAAAATTAAAATTTAAGACCAAAAAACTTGTATGACCAAGTTAAAGTCTTTACTAGAATTTTGGAAACTAGAAATGAATATTACCTTACAACAAGAAGAAAGAAAAAAAAAATTATTACAAAATAATGTAGGAAAGAGAATGCTTGGTTTTTCTAAAATTATGTGAAAAATATAAAAGGTCAAGATCGGGAAAATAATTTGTCATAGTGAGGGTTTAGATCTAGATCAGGTATTAAAAGGTCATAATCAGCAAAAGATGTAAAATAAAAAAAAAATACGATGGCTTTGCTCTACGCGAACAGGCAACCTCTAATTAACTTTCCGCAATTTAGGATCTCCCCCCTAGATCAGTACTTTCGAGAACATTCGAGCTTATTACGTAACCGCTACTATAAATAACGAATACGCGCCATTTTGCAGTCAGAAGCTTCTCTCTCCCTGTGCTGTTAAAACGTAGTCTACTGCTCCCATCTTCCTTTCCTTTATGATGCAGTAAATTTAAAGTAATCTTATTTAGTAATGAATATTGATATGCTTTTGAAATTGAAATAAAGATATGGAATAGTAAAATGTGAAATCCTGTGCCTTCTTTTGATGCCGTCTTAACACTCTGCTACAGAAATGCCTGGACTTTGATGCCAAGCCTCGTCATTCATGTCCACGACTGCCGAAATATCACAGCTTTAATAATTAGCAGTAGCGTAGGTTTTAACAGCACAGGGAGAGAGAAGCTTCTTTCCGCAAAATGGCCCGCATTCGTTACTTATAGTAGTGGTTACGTAATAAGCTCGAATGTTCTCGAAGGTACTGGTCTACGGAGATCCTAAATTGCGGAAAGTTAATTAGAGGTTGCCTGTTCGCGTAGAGCAAAGCCATCGTATTTTTTATATTTTACACATATATATATGTATATATATTAAATAGATACTTTACGGCAGTTCTGAATTAGATCTAACTTTGTAGGGATTTATTTTAATTTTCTAATAGGTGTTTTTTTTTTTTTTTTTTTTTTTTTTTTTTTTAACGGCTTTTCTTTACCTTCTCGTTCCGCACCTACATTTTCCTGCAAGAAAGTGTGTTCAGGGTTACATTTTATGCAAATGGGGTAGAAACCGTTATTTAAGCTGACTGATGTCTGGGTTACTTCACTAGAAGAGTCTAGGAGATAGTGTTCTGTTTTCCGGCCATCGTTGTTACTAATAGTCTAATCTTACTATTATTCTGCCGTATTGTTTGTATCCGCCCGTGATCTTAAAATAGGGCCGCTTCTGTTAGTTAATTCTGTGTTTTATTTTAGGCTGGTTTTATTTGAGTTAATATTAGATTAGTTCTCATTTTATATCTTGAGTTAAAGCTCAAGTGGAGGATTATTGTAACCCCGAGAAAGGGTCATCTGTTCATTTTTTTCTGAGTTGGAATAAAGAGTAAATTTAACTCTTCTTTGGATTTCTTTCTGACTAGAACTCTGCCATAAGTCGTTACACAGTTATTCAATAGTCTAACTAACCCTCAAGAACTTCCAAATTAGCTAGGATATTACAACCTTTCCAAAACTATTTCCGTTTAAAAAGTTTTAGAAAGGTATAAATGTATTGCTTACTCGTAATCTATTTTTTTGCTGTAGCATCCAACTGGAGACCATGTGTTCTTTCTTGTAGCAAAGCAGGCATTATTTGCATCTGGATTTTCTTCAAAGACACCGTATCGAAAGATTGACCATTGCTGAACGAACTGAAGTGCCAGTTCTATTAAAAAGAGAGAAAATGATAGTAATTGGGTACAGCCGGAAATAGAAAAATAATTTATCATCAGTGAGAGTAAAAGTTTCTAATTTTTTATAAAAGAAATGAGTAGTTCATCAGGAAAAACAAAACTGTATCATTAATCATCATTAAACTGTTAAATTTCCTTTTCATTCGTTTATTAAAAACATCTTTAACCGATGGATTAGATTTTCTGGAAGCTTTCCACAAACATCAAAATCTATCAAACTTCGTTAAGGATTTTAATTATAATCTATTTTAATTAAACAATTTTTCTCATCTTAAAACTCTACTATTAACTACGTTTAGAAGTCTGTCTATCTAACAGTGCTTCACGAGGAGCTAGCTATTCCTCTTGAGAATGCTTTATATCTTTTAGGATTTTTTGTTTCTGAACGATTATCAACTTTCTACAAAGAAAAATTAAAACTAAATGACATTTTATTTAGTGATACCTGCCATTTACAACTACAGTTAAAAAATTTCCAAAAGCAAAATACTGGATAACTTATCGACGATACATAACAAAATTGAGTCGATTGCTCTGAGAATTTAGAAAGTTTTTAAAAAAATTCTCTCAAATGCTTCACTTAGTTGTTTCCTACTAAAAAGAAGTTGTTTTCTACTGCATGAATTCATATTGTCAGCTGCCGGTGGCGCTTCAAGCATCTTGTCTTCTGAATATTTTTGATTTCTGACATACGAAGGTAATCGTGAAAGTGTTAATAATCTGAAGGCATGAGCCTACTAATTCATATTGTTGGGGGAAAACTGTGGAATGATGCATGTAAATATGAATAAAATTCACACAAATGACGAGTTATCTTGAGAACTGTCTATGAACATGTGTCAAGATAACTCACACATTTGTGTGAATATTATGTACTTTCTTCTGGAATTAATGGATTGAAAAACTTCATTCCAAATTAAACTTCAGCAACGTCGCTATAACGCCTACCGGCATTAAACACTTACCGGTCCGCGCAGCGATCGAGATTACTGCGGCCAGTTCTTATTTGCATAATGTTCTGGTCTTGTAGAGTTCTGCTAGAAGCGTATTTCTGTGCCCTGCAGACCCTCCCAGACTTGAAAGTGAGTTAACGCTTTAATCTGAAGCAAATGACAAAAGCCGTAAGAAGGTTAAAATAATATTTTTCACTTAACTCATTAAATCAGCAAAAGGCACTGCTTGTGCTACAGATGAACCCTCTCTGTTTGGGGATATTTAAATTAACAGAAAATGAAGTTTAATTCAAATTTAGGTAACGTATATTGAGACAACGAACAAAATAAACTACTTAAGCCGGCTAAGATAACAAACGGCGCGTATTTTAAGCGTTAGCCAGCAAGATTGTTAACGTCGGAATAACCTTAATGGAACTGGCGATAGTAAGTAACTACAATATGAGGATATCAAAATCTTTAACCCTAAAACATTCAAACGTTTGGCTTAAATACACAAATAACTTGAATTCTCGTAAGGATTACGGAAAAAAGTAGTTAAAGTAAAGGTTCAAATCACGACTGGTTAATTTACATAAAATTCTGAGCGAACATACGTGACGTGAACCAAAGACAAGATAGGCTAGTGTTTAATTTAACTGTTAGTTAAACTAGATAATTGTCACTGAGGTGCCAACTTAGCAAACAAAAAAGTCGGGAGAATATTTTAAGAAACCATAAAATTTCCTCCGCTATAAAAATAATTTGTAAAACGCCAAAATACTACCGGAAAAATGTTTAAAATATGAACATGCTTGAGAACATGGGCCCTTTCTCCAATAGAAATTGAAAAAAATCTCATTGACTTATTGCCAATTTCATGCCTTGCATATTCGTATAGCAATATATGCTATACTTATTCGCCAATTTCATGCCTTGCAGCACATAAATGTGCTGCAAGGCATGAAATTGGCGAATGTGCATCATATATGTGTTTCATTTACTTGATAATGTATTGCATTAAATTTTATGTTATGCGTATTTTTTATGTATTCATATTTATATGTTACATGCGGGTGAAATGTACCACATAAACGTGTTATATTTCCTTTGTCGCAAGCAAACATATATCATAAATATATGATATGTGATCATTTCCTTGATGAAATAATATAAGGAAAGTCGCTTTTTAAAAAGTATTATTTTTCCCACAAATATAGATGAGATAGTAGTTCACAGATTTTCAAAATATTTCTTAAAGCACATGAAACTCACATAATTTAGAAACGAGAAAAACGCAGGGAACAGTCTCGACCAAACTTTGTGCTCATTGGTAATATATTTCTGATGAGTCCTAGCAGTGCTTAACGGTGTTTGGAGAACTCAGACATGACTTTTCCATGCATATTTGCTCAATCAATGCAATAGTCCGCCGCAATATTTCATTAACTAAATAGCTTAGCTTGCATGCGTAATCTATGGAAAAATCAAGCAAGTTCAGACAGTAGAGACAGTAAAACTCTTGGGTTCAGATTACGAAATATTAAGCCATGCTACATAAAAATCCTGAGGAATTTTAAGAATTATTGAAAGAGGGAAAAATTTGCTGTAAATCGGGCTGAAGAAAGTACGATTGAAAATCTGGACTCTCCTGCCTAATTGATAGAATTGGAGTTTCTATTATCATTATCTCAATTTGCTTTCTCTCCACACTTACTTTTTTCCCCAAGAGAAATCTTATTGGGATGTACCATTTTCATCAAAGAAAAATAATACAAAAATTTTTCGTTTCTCATAATTACAGATAGAAATGGAAATTATGAAGCAGGGCAAATTAAACAATCTTTCAATTGCACAGCTACGTGTTTCTCTTTCTTTTTGTAGAATCTGTTATACGTTACATGTAGGGATACAAATAATCAGCTATGCGTTCGCTGGGATCCGAACACTGAATCGTCCAATTGCTAATGCCGGATGTACAATTACTTACACGCGAAGGCAGGCAGTGAGAAAGGCTAAAATTCGTTACATTCTGTTTTTATAAAGTCAAAGCTCCATAATACAATACTGTTTTTACTAAAACATATGGCTGCTACAAAATACAATATACTTCCTCTGAGAAGTTCAGCTGAGTTTCAAATGTAGTTTAAAATAATTAAGCTTACAAATAGTCACCAAATGTTTGCATCTGCAATACATTTGTACGTATAGTCTTGGCTTCCATTTTAGAAGTGGATGTTCCTCCATTTTCAAATACAAGGCAGAGTTCTTTCCTTAAAAAATTCTCCATAACTGTAATTTTATCTCTAAGCAAAGCTTTGTCAAAATTAATTAACCTAAGTCTGTTGATGCAATGCAAGGAGTATCTTTAAGATAACTGCCACATAAATCTCTCACATTTTATCATCATTTTGTAATTTTTCTTCGTTCTTTTCCCTTTAAAACATTATTTTCATTTTTATATTTATATATATAATATACATTTAAAACTCATTTTTCTCCGAATTTATGGTATACATTTACAACTGTAATTAATACTGATTAAATCTTTAGTTTATAAATAAAGTTCAACTGATGCGGGATATAGCCTTTTCCGACGCCTCTTGTGAATGCACTAAAATAATTACTATTCATGACGAAGTTTGGCTTTATTAATATAAGGTATCTTTCAGCAATTTCCTCCGCATAGACTTCTCTCTCTTTTTTTTTTTTTTTTTTTTTGTTGTTGTTGTTGTTGTTGAAAAAATTCATTTAGGTCTATTTCTTGACTCTCGTTTAACTGTTTCTTGACAAACGAACGACCTTAACCCAATTTTTCATCAAAAATTCTTGGCGATGAGGAGCGTAAACTGGTCGGGCGAAGAAAACCCTAAAATATATATGAGGATGAAATGTTTGTTCTGCAAGTTCGGTGGAGTTTTTATTCATCAAGAAACGTCAAATTGTCGCCCATCTGGCATAGTCCTGGCTGCCGTAGCGATGGGACCAGGTGCAAATCCCGGAGAAGGCATGGTTTTAACCGTCCGTTCCTTCATAGGAGGCAACGGTGGCCTCCTATTAGGAGCTTCCATAATGAAATGGCCACCACTTTTGGCACCTGTAGTGGCGCAAGGCTAACGGCTATTAAATAAAGCACCAGGCCATTAAAAAAACAACGTCAAATTTCGTCAGGTTATTCTAACTTCGTCATATTTCCCCTTCCACACGCGAAGGCAGTCCCTCTTCTCCATTTTAGCATTGGCGGGTCTTTCACTAGAACTTTCCAATCACAATGTTGACGCTTTTGATACACAGGTAAAATCAAATACTAGTTGTTTGACTAGCATATGAGTTTACATATAAAGACACTTCATTATAATTCTGAAGTCATACTTCATTTACATATAATTTTTTCCTAATAAAATTGATTCCGAAATCCTATTCGCAAGATCATATCAGGTTAAATATTTATTAAACGTTTAACTTTGTCAAACAACTGTGTTTTATTTTTGTATAACAAGTATGGCGGGAGTAGTTCTACTCCCTTGAAGTTGGAAACATTCAGATTTTCGGAACCGACCATTTTATGGGAGGAGATCCGGGGTTTGATCCGGACCTTCTGAGAGTCGGTATAGCTACGGGAGCAATGATGCGGGGCTCCGCATAGCCTCTCCTGTCCCTATCCGACATAAGCCTCTTCGTGGCTCCCGCTGGTAACCAGGTTCGCCTGGACTGACTATGTTCGGATACCATTCCTGGGGTTCGACTAAGACTGACCATCTCAGCGTACTGGCTAGCTCAATATCTAGACAGCCTGTAATTCTCAGGTAAATAAACAGTTTTTACAGAACTAGAGTCATCGTTTATTCGGTGGTGGGTTCAAGCTTCTCAGGGACCGTGCTGGTACTGTCTTGTCTGCCCCTTTGTTGTTGGGATGTTACATGGTGAGATATCGAAGGTTGTCTGAGGGGAATGGGCTCCCCTTGGTCAATACTGAGGGACAGACGATGTCTACCATGTAACTTAGATTATTTTCTGTGGCTGCTTGCCGTCCACCATTGCGTTGATTCATTTTTACTTGCAAGTGTAACATTTAAAATTACTCTGGATTGATCAGTGGGTGGCGCCCCCTCGGATCCCCACTCGAGGTTGGAGCATTTATAAACCATGTTCAAGTATGGCAAATGTTTATAAACCGTGTTCAAATATGGAAAATGTTTATAAACCGTGTTCATTTATAAACCAAATTCAAATGAGATAGAAAGAGATAGTATTCAAAGGAATGTTTTATAGTGTTTAGTCACAGCGTTTTCCACCTACTGAGGACCACGTTACTAGTTGAATTTCTAGGATAGCGTAGTAAATATCTGTGACGTTGCATTATTTTTGCCAATAATGCTGGTCACGACGGTACAAATTTGAGCCAACCTGTTCTGCATAGCTTTTGGCTAACTTAAGACTCAACTTAGTTTTATTTCGAATTCATCACTTTTGAGTTATGCCATAAATGTTAGCTGGTTGTAATCACAAAGGGTGCCTTCTGTTAACTAATTCAATCTTAATCATAGGGTATTTTACCCCGTTCTTACATTTCTCTATTTTCTTACTGAACATAGCGATAAGTCGCTTAGATCCATCAAGGGTCTCGATTTAGTGTACGTTTCTCAAGGAGATGAGAATCTACAAATAAAAGCATCAAATATAGATTGGAAAATTTATCAATAAAGAGCAGCTTTAGGATTATAGTTATAACTGATTTTGAAACATTACATAGTCTAAGAATAAAATTACAATTAGGAAGCTAAAACAAGTCATTCTTTCTAATATTTCGAGTCTGTATTTGAAGGACTATGTTTCATTTGTTATCTTATAAGCAACACTGCAATAAAATTGCAAATTTGAGCATTGGAATGAAAAATATTCTTTGAAACATTAGATAACCAACACAGAAATTCAGAAAATGCCGAATTTTATGATAAGGGTTTTGATCAGGCGTTATAAATTCAAGTTGAATAACAAAGGTGGAGGAAGCACGTTAAGAAGGAATTATAAGAGGATAATTTTATAACAAAACGTTTGAAGGAAAATATTCAAAATTTACCATCAATATCATTTCCTTTCAACCAGGCTAAAGGCATATAAATTATGTCTCCAGTACTTCCGCATTCTTTGCTATGTTGGGCTTTCAGAATGGTGGAATCTTCAGCTAAATCTGTAATGTAGATATCAACGCTTCGTGGTACCTCTGTCACGTTCACTTCACACCAGTCATTTACACCCGTCCATTCAGAGGGCACAACTATAATGAACTCATCATAGTATGAAAGATTTCTTGTGGCGTAATAAAGATATTCAGATGATTTTGTGAGAACTTTCTGCATATGAAAATAATAAAAGACTTTATACATTACAAAAATTGATACCCAATCCTAAATAAAAGCACGAATTAACTAATAAGAAAAGAAAAGTATTTAAACTAAATTCCGAACGCTTTCAGATTTTATATAAGCCCCAAACCGACTTTTTTTTTTTTTTTAACCTTTTGTGTGTTACCTTTACTAGTTAAATATCATATTCTTCGTATTTAGACCACATAAAATTCAGTTCAACAGCAATATCCAAAATATTTAAAAAGAGCATATCTTTAGAATTTCCGGTAGATAGACTCGCGCGTTGGCGATAAAAATGTGTTTTGTTCGTACTGTGTTGCCATTGCTCGTTTTGAAATCGTTGAGTTGTTTAATCAAAAATTCGTTAAAGTTTTACAAAATATGAAAGAGATAATAAAATAAATTCGAAATTCAAAATTCTGGCATCCAGGTGCCCATGTTCGGGTGGAGGATTACGTTATTCGAAATCTGATGATATAAATACCATCATTTTTTAACATTGCGAGAAACATACATACATTCATGCAGATTCTTCATTATTTAATTTCGTTAAATATAAAGTACGATATATACTAGCATAATATAGAACGATAATACTTGGTGGCAATAATTTGAACTTTCACAGTGATTAAACGCAAAATGCCATTTTGAGACTAAGTGCCCTTCTGAGCTAATGCCGTTTGAGCTAAAAATGTTTATGTATCCGGATCAAGATGATGAAATAAGTTTTATCAGAAAACTTAGAGCAGCGTTGCAAATACTGGCAGTTGGAAGTTTCTGATGAGAACTTCTGCTGAATTTTCTTTATTTAATTTCCAAATGTTACTCCACTCTTTCTGTATTTTATGGAACTCACATTCCTGGAATTCACGTTCCTGAAAGAAAGTGATCAAAATATTGAATAAAGATCATACGTACCGAAGAAAAAGAAGGGAAGCAAAAAAGAAATATTCTGACATTTAAGGCTAAGCAGTTCTCAAACATTTTATCTATCATACCACTTGATCGTAACTAAAAGTATAGTTGTTAGAATAAATTAGAGTCACATTTGCGTTATAAAACTCGGCAGAATCAAAAACAAACCAGCGTCGAAAGATATATTGGCGAGAGATGATTCTACCTATGTTTTTAATGTAGAAGTGTTAAAGAGATTTCGTACTTGCGTTGTATTACTTGAGCTTTATTTTGTTTCAGCCATGTTTCGGTCTTTTTTGGAATATACTCCTGATAATATCGCCTAATAGGTAAGCCTGAAGATATTTACAAATTTATAAACGAGTTTCTTGTAATTTCTTTTTCCATCACTTTAATTTAAATATTTATGAAGACTGTTAATTTTGATTTGTGTTCTACTCGAGTTAAGCAAACCTTGTAAATTGTTAAATAAAGATTTCATAGTTATTCAAACTTATGATTCTTTAATAAAATTGTGCTAAACAGAGGCGAGTGTACTTAAACACCTTAACTGGGTAAAATGAATGACATTTCAGTAATGCACCCTGAAAATAAAATTTTCCACAAAGGCATGGTTTTATAACCTCAAAATACTTCACAAATAAATGACACATTTCTTAATTCATTAAAAAAGCATATGTATAAAAATGACTGCATACTTGTGTGAAGTCAAAATAACGGTCACTAACAAGAAGTAATCAATACTTTTTATTGATGTAGATATGCTATGAAGCGACTGCTGCAGACCTTGCATCGTTTATTTTAAATATCAAGGATGTTATTTAAATAAATAAAATTATATTTAAATTTCAAATTGTACTTAAATATCAAAATTGATAACTAAAATATCACTTCTTGTTAGTGACCGCACTCATTTATGGTTTCTTTCAATCTTTCTCATTTCTCATTGAATGCGGGAAAAATGTTTAAACAGTGTATAAAGATTTTAAGATATCAAGAATCTTTGTATAAAATTCAGAACTGAAAGATTCCATAACAACGCTCTTACAGTAAGCGTGAAAAGTTTTTCGCACATATAGTTTTAGCCCAGAGAGGCTATTAATTTCGTTTCTGGCATTTTACGTTGGTTCATTATAAATGGCGTTTCACTTTTCAAATTGTTGCCACTAAATATTACAACCCTGCGTTATATTTGAAAAAATTAAATAATGAAGAATCTGCTTAAATGTATGTGTTTCTCTCACTGCGAAGAAACTACGGTACCCAGAGACATAGGATTTTCCTTCACTCGAATATGGGCATCTAGAAGCCCAAAATTGGAATCTGGAATTTGTTTTATTATCTGTTTTATATTTTGTTTTAAACTTTAATGAATTTTTGATTAACGATTTCAAAGTGAGCAATGGAGGATATATCTCCAACGCGCTAGACGGGGAGGATATATCTCCAACGCGCTAGACTGCGTTTCGGAAATTCTAAAGATATCCTCTTTTTAAATTATTTTGTGATTCTACTATGATTTAGGTGCGAAAAACATGATATTTAAGAACTAAAGGTAACACACAAAACATTCAAAAATGCCCCTTTGAGCGTAATATAAAATCTGAAAGCTTTAAGATTTTGTTTTATCTCTTAGGAAAAGTATGTTACACAAAACTCGATGGTCGTTTTCTTGTTTGAATGATGACAATTAAGAAGATTTATGGCTGATCCGAAATTTGTTTATACATCTAAATCAGCTTAATTTCTAAAAATCTGATTTTTCTTTCATTTGCGCTTTCGTGCGTCTATAAATAATTAAGATTCTGTATGAGGCCACAAAAGTATTTAGCAATATGAACTTTCACTTTCAGAGACTAAAATATTTAAAAGTAGGGGTTCTCAACCGGTGGTACGCGTACCACTGGTACACAAGCGAAAAATAGCGAAAAAAAAGCCTAAATATAGTTTTAAATTTAGGTATAAAAATTGTTAATTTTATTAAGTCGAGCTTTAAATTCAAGAATATTTACGATTTTATGTCAAGAGAAGGTTAGTGAACATCAAACGCTTCTGTTACATTTCGAAGTAAGGTGGTTATACAGAGGCAAAGTTTTAAATCGTCCTTTTGAACTTCCATCAGAAATTCAGATTTTCCTCTGTCAATCAACATTTGAATTGAAAAAAATGTTTATATAGTGAATTATAGTTAGCGCTTTTAGCATATTTAGCTGATATTTTTGGAAAATTAAATGAATTAAATTAAAGATTAAAAGAACAAAATATTATTATTATTATTATTATTATTATTATTATTATTATTATTATTATTATTATTATTATTTACCATTAGAGATAAAATAAAAGCCATGATAAAAAAAACTCGAGCTCATAATCAAACAATTGGATAATAATATTTTAAGCTTTTTGGCACTTTTAGAAAGTTTTTTAACCGAAAATCATTTGAAAATAGAAGAAGAATTAGCGTCCGACATTAAAAATATTTTTTTTTTCTTGATAAACAATTTCAACTTGTATTTTACCTAGGATTATGAAAAAAATTGGATTAGAAATTCCTTTTGTTTTGAATATACCTGAAATTTTATCTCGTGAAGAAAAAGAACAATTGATTAAAATTTCCTATGACTGAACTCAGTGATTGAACTGAAGATTTAAAAAATAACACACTTGTTAACTTTTGGCTTGACTGGAAAAAAAAAAAAAAAATAAAAATAAATTTAGAAGCATTTCAAATTAAGCTATTAAATTTTTATTGCCTTTTTGCACAACCTATATGTGTAAACGAGGATTTTCTTCCATGATATATTTAAAAATTACATGTAAAATAAAATGTGGATTCTAATTTACGATTATAACGAAGTGGAATAAGACCAGAAATAAACAAATTGATTTCTCTTAACCCCTTCTGGCACGCTACCTTTTAAAATAGGAGTTTTGATTTTTTTTTAAAAAAGTAGGCAGTCTAATTAGGCCTAGAGGAGTACACAAGTAAAATTTTGTGAAGATAGCACTTATCGTTTTAATTCTGTGGGTGTGCCCAAAGTGGGCACAATAGAGATTCGAAAAGAGTGCTGAAACGAGCATTGTTGTTGATGAACTGACCGATGACATGCGGAGAAACAAAGAATACAGACTCTCAGTTGTCCTAGATTATCGGTGAGCCCGGTCTGGGCACACCTAGGGTTCGCCGTTTGATTTTAGGCAAGATTTCAAGGTAAAAATTTAAAACTAATATAAAATAAGGATATTAGCATACAGCCAAGAAAATAACATAGAAATTTTTTTTCAACCAATTCCTTTTATACCCTAAAAAAAATCTGGAAGATTTCTTTGAAAAATGAGGGTCTTAAAAAACTAAACATGGCTAAAATATATGGACTGGTTTGTGTCGAGCTGCCATCTACTATGAATAAAGAAGGTTCAGAGTAACATATAGTAACCTATAAATCCTTTTTCATTCAATTTTTCTGTGCGTACAGAAGGAAATTTTTAGGTGTGTCCCCACCGATACACTGTGCCGCAAAGGGTTAAACAAGCGCAAATTTCACACTAAAGTTTAGAATTGAAATATTATAACTTAAATTTTAATAATTAAAATGGTAACAAATTCTTAATCTAATATTTTTTGTGTGCATTTTTAATTCAAAGAGCCAATAGGTTGTGCAAATGGTTAAATATTTTTTTGTCCAATTAATTTCATTTTTAGTCCAATTAATTTCAATTAATTAATTTCAAAAGGGCATTTTGCGTCGATTCACTTTTCAACTGTTGCTACCAAATATTATCGCCATATATTATTATATTTAAAGAAACTAAATAATGAAGAATCCGCATAAATATTTCTCGCATGGTGAAAACCCAACGGTACCTAGAGCCATCAAATTTTGAATAATGGGGTCTTCCAACCGAACATGGCCACTTAGAAGACCAAATTTTGATTTTCGAATTTGTTTTATTATCTGTTTAAAATTTTGGTTAACAAACTCAACGATTCCAAAGCAAGAAATGGCAATACTGTAAGAAAAAGGAAAAAAAAAAAAAATTATAAACGCCAGCGCGCGTGACTGTGTATCAGAAACTGTAAGGTATGCTGTTTTGTTGTTTTTAAATATTTTGTGATATTGCTGTTGAATTGAATTTTATGTGCTTTAAGTGAGAAGAATATGATATTTAATAAATAAAGGTAACACACCAAACGTTAAAAAAAGCCCTGTTGGGCGTAATATAAAATCTGAAAGCAATTATATTTTCTTTCTTTCTTTTTAGCCCAAGGGGCGTTAGCACAAAAGGGCTATTAACTTCGTTTTGGTATTGCGTTTGGCATGGCGTTGAAAACTTAATTGTCCGTTTCACTTTTTAAATTGTTGCCACCAAATATTATTGTCCTGTGTTATATTTAAAGAAATTAAATAATGAACAATCTGCATAAATGTATGTATGTTTCTCGCAATTACCATAAAACAACGGTATCTAGAGCCATCAAATTTTGAATAACGTAATCCTCCACCCGAATATGGGCATCTGGAAGCCCAAATTTGGAATTTGTTTTATTATCTATTTCATATTTTGTAAAGCATTTATGAGTTTTTGATTAAGAAACTCAAATTAAGCGAGCAATGGCAATACTACACGGAAAAAAAAATTATCTCCAGCGCGCGAGAATGTGTATCGTAAATGCTAAGATATGCTCTTTTAAATATTTTTAAATAATGCTGTTAAATTGAATTTTATGGTTTAAGTTCTAATAGCATGATATAAAGGTAACACACAAAACGTATAAAAAACTCCCCTTAGAGCGTAATATAAAATCTGAAAGCTTTCAAAAACATTTTTTTAAATATTTCTATTTAGAAATTTATCAATAATCATCGAAAAATGTAGTGGTGGTACTAAGGTTTTCAGTTTTTGCTTAGGTGGTACGCGTTAGTCAAAAGGTTGAGAACCGCTGCTTAGGTATTTAACATGCATTAAAGGCGTATTTCGATGCAGCAAATATAGGAATATATATTTTTATTAAAAATTTTTATAAATCTAAAACAATTTATTTCATTGATAATATTTGCCATTTGTATAATTTTCAAGTACTTATAATAGATCTGATAAAATTAATATTTGCATAAATATGATCTTAGAGAGCTAGATTGTGTATTATACATTTATTCAGCTACTGTTATTGTAAAATTATATTCATCACATGTATAACTTCTATAACAATTTAAAGAAAGTTAAACATACCTTAAGTTTTTCGAAATCTACTTGTTCCTTCCTTATTTTACTGGGAAATGAAATGGATATGCCTTTGTATGCATTTTCCTCGATGTATACACCATTGACAATAAAACAAAATGTAAATAAGGTCCATATGAATGAAAGATGTGAGCGGACTTCCATAAGTTCTAAATATCATCTGATGTTTTAAAATTAAATAGTACTCATCTAGATAACACTGAATACCATTCACAGTAATTATATGCGAAACTATTAACTAGTCTGAATTATGGAAAAACAATCCGCCATTTTGTCTTTAAACCTCCGCCATTTCGCACTTTTCGTCATGTTTCCATTCTAACGATTTAAAAAAGATAGCTCTCTTCCAAAACACTCTTGTGTGATTTTTAGAAGACAGGTTGTAAAAAAGAGATAACTGAGGTTTAGTTGTCATAGTGACTGATAAACTATATCTACCTTCAACGAGAAATATTACACCATTCCACAGAAATGAACTCACAGTCAAAAGTTTATGGAAACAATCTTTCTCCTTCCGTTTTGCTTCTTTCATTATCTTCGCATCATCAAAGCTTAGAAAATATTATTTATGTACACTTAGATGCTCAGAACCATTTTGTTCGCAACCAGATGTCATTTAGAACCGCGGTCGCCAACCAGTGGTCCACTGAACACTGGTGATCTATATAAAATTTTTAACGGTCCACGAAAAAAATTAGGACATAATTTATGCACTTTTTACGGACATTTTTCCCTCATTAATAATTTTCTTTAAATTTTTTATGGTTTTTAGATTCAAATCAAATAGATAATAGACGCATAATGAGTGAGAAAAAGCAAGCGAATATTTTGCTTTTCTTTAGTTAAACTAAAGTTAGATTAACTAGTGAAATTGGAATTAAGTCACTTGCGAAGAGGGGATCAGTGAATCAAAGCATCCACATTCCTCGTCACGCTCAGACAGCATTAGAAAGAACGTTCAAACTGAAGGTGCAAAGACAAAAACCCAAAATAACAAGAAAATATGATTCAGACTACTTGAAATTTGAATTTATTCCAGAACCTGGTAGTTAGCTGAATCCACGGCCTTTTCGTATTACCTGTTCTCAGAGTTTATCTAATGTTCCATGAAATCTTCAAAACTCGAAAAACACTTGAGATCAGAACACCCAGATTTAGCTAAGAAATTACTTATGCAAAAATAGATAGGTATCTTAAAAATACGGTTGTTTAAGATAAGTCACTATCAAAGGCTTTCTATCTGATAGCTCAACGAAAAACAAAAAGCCATATACGGAGAAGAATTCGCTCTAAGTTCTATTTGAACGAGAATACGTTTCACACTTTATTTATTGAAGGCGTCTGTAAATAAAATAAAAAAGGATGTTATTTAATTCACTTCCTGATTTGTCCATTTTGAAAGCCGAAATTATGCTAAACCTAAAAATGCTGATATTTATTTCGTAAATTTTAATACGGTATGGGCACAGATAGCGCATTTAAAAAGCAAACTATTCGCAGAAGGTGAAGTCATACATTAACCTTATAAAATATTCAGTGTATGAATAATGAAATGAATTAATAAGTATGAATGAAAGTTTTAATATCGATATCCTAAACAAGCTCTTTGGTTATTTTTACTTCTTTGTACGAAGTAAAGGAAGTAAAATTCGCGAAAAATTTCAGGTACAATATTTCAAAGAAAATACCCATTTTGACCGCTGTTGAATCCATTTGAACGATTTTGTTTTTCGTGACATCTGTACGTACGACAGAATAAAGGACGTTTTTTTCAAAACGGATTGTAAAATGCATTTAAAATGGATTTAGAAGGGATAATTTCGTGACATCTCTGTGTATCTATCTCGCATAATTCAACAACGATTAGCCGTAGAACGTGAAACTTTACATTTGGGACAACTATAACATCTAATTGTGTACAAAACATGTGTGTGTGTATATATATATATATATACATAATATCCACCCTCTTACCCGGGTTCGTGAGCTCTGCTTTTTATTCTTATATTTTGGTTAATTGTTCAATTTTTGCTCTAAACGTAATTGAATTATGTTGGAATTATATTCCGGTTAAGGATTTTATGTTTTTATGCCATTGGTTAATTTGCATGCAATAAATGTAGAATTATCAACAATTTTCAAGCGCAAGTGGCGCTAGGCCTAACGTGGCAGCTATTTGTTTATATTTGAAACTCTTAGTAGTATAGTGAATTCAGTTGGTGCACCGACTTCAGCATCTTTTTGCCCAGTAAAGAAAAAAATTAGCAACCAAAATTTTGTATTTCTGTCCGTTCGCCGAATTGCTAGTTTTTGTGTGGAAACTCTTACTGTAATGGCAAAAATTGATTTTTAACTGTATTTGGTATTTTAATTTTTTCTGTATTTTACAATTTTTAATAAAGATGTTTTGAGTTTTTATGTATTTTTGCCTTGCCGCGATGTGAGACATCTTTTCTAACAGTTAGAAATTTGTCTCAACATGCCAACCAATGTTCTCACTAGTTTCTGCGTGTTTTATCTCCTAACTTGTTAATCTCTCCACAAAATGAGAGAAGTAAACTCTCATTTTGTGGAGAATAGTTAAATAGTCCACCCCTCCCCAACAGATGTGAAGTTAAATAGTCCACCCCCTCCCCGACAGATGTGAAGCAAAATATCTCTACGTCTGAAAGTAACTGCAATATCAGACGACGGTTTAAATAAGCCTCTTATTTAAAAAGAACATAGAACATACAGTTGTGTTCTGATGCTGGAAAAATCAATTACAGCTCACGGTGACGTAATTAAACACGAAGAGTCAAATTTAAATTAAAAATGTGGACTAGTGGTAAAAGATTATACAATTTAATTTAAATTGAATCTGGCTCAGTAACGCTATCATATGAGGACACAGAAATGTGAAATTATAATAAAGGCTGAAATCCTAAACAATTGGGCAATTTACATAATAATAACTACATATATCTTTGAAGAATAATTTTCTTTATGTATTTAGTTTCTTTCTTCAACCCGTTTCCTTTTCCTTTTAGAATTTTTGGATTTAATTAAGGATTTCTGTTATTCTAAAAAACACTAAATACATTTAGAATGTATAGAAAAAGTGGCTAATTTTATTTCTTTAGTAATATGAACATTCAAAAGAAATATGAAATATATATGTTAAAGGGCGGTTACAGAACTGGTGTGGCAGAATTTTTAGAATTTAGTGACACACCGAGCTACAAAATCTAGAAATGGCAAAACGTTTAGAATTTAAAGCGGAAATTGGAAGCTGAATTTAGAAAGGCACTAGGCAGCAGAATTTAGGATCCGCTGCATCAGGTAGAATACCTAGCGCAAGCTCTGTGTATGATGCATTAAGATATATTAGATGAATCTTTTAAATTATAAATTTTCAATTTCTTTATTAATTGAAAAATTCCCTTTCTGTAATGCCTGCCCATGTGATAAGATTAGAAACATTTTTGATAATTTCCATGCTTGTGTCTAGTGAAAAGTAGAGAAAATAAAGGGAAGATAAACATGTTAAGTAAAAGATTCTAGTATCAGAAGTAGAATATTCAAATATTATGTTTTTATTGTTGTAGAGACATTGGGTTAATTGGAAGCAGGCAAGATGAAAAATTAACAAACGCCTTCGCTGGGAATCGAACCACGGACCTCTGAAATACCTGCTCAGTGTGCTAACCACTACACCACGAAGGCACGCTAGGAAAGCGGGAGAAATACCTTATATTGTTCTTCCAGATGTGTTCTCCTAACAGCAAGATACTCATCGGAAACTTTCTACAAAATACATCCATTGCGTGTTAATACCGAGGAGACATTTTTCATTTTGTCACATATTTCTGGAATCTTCTAGAATCGTGAGTCTATAAATCTTGCCTTCGAATCTTTCTAAACTTTTCAAGAAGCAATATCTAACATCCTAAAGAAACATTATCCCTACCAATTTTGTAGCCGCAAAAAGGCAGAAATATTTTGAAAAAAAGAAGGGGGAAGTGTAAAATTGATTTTATAGAGAAAACTAACGCATATTCTTGAGAACTCAGAATAGTGGGATACAATTACATGGAAAAAACGTTTACTATGAAAAAATTAAAAAGAAGACATTTTTAATTAATTACATAGCTAATTTTTCTTTTGCTAAGAACTGTTTCCAAAGTTGTGCTTTATAGTGTTATACCTTATTTTTCATATTCAAAATATTGTATAATAAGTTACCAAAATGGGACTTTATAATATGACAGCGAAAAATAAAAATGTTTTATTTTAATGTTGTTTTTTAAATATAATTTCTATATATTACCATTATTTTAACGAAATTTATGAGTGTTACAATGTTTTTAGGAAAAAATCATCGCAAGATTCCCAGATCTCGGAATTAAAAATTTCCTATAGAAACTGATCTTAAAATCGGCAAAATGTTGATAAGTCGCCAAATTTAGAGCGTTTTAATATGGGAATTCACATCCTCAAAAGTGAAATGTTGTTTAAGAGCTCTTCATTAGCAAAAATGAATTTCGAAATACTTATGTTTCACTTCTTGCTTATAAACTCGAGTATCCCACCATTTATATTACAAACAGGAATATATAATAACCCATTCAAAAGATAACCATATATGTCAGTGAATCGCCAAAATTGTTTCTCCAAAATGCTAATTCACACTCAAAATGGCAGTCATAAAAAAAGACAGAAATTTCAGATGAGTAAAATTAAGAACCTTTCACAGATTTTGGCCGAAATTAAGGACTTTTAAGGACCAAAAATCAATTCCAAAAAACCAAGGACGTTTAAGGACTCTTAAGAACCGCACGAATCCTGGATGGTGTATGTGGTTTTGTTGGCGTTAGAGATGGACGATCCGCTCCGGAACCGACTCAAAGAACCTATTCACCTTACTGAACGAATGATCAGCGCTTCGGCGAAAACGGAAGGCTCCGGTGCTGGGCACTTCAGCAGGCTCCTAGGCTGGGACAGCCACATCCTGTGCAGATAAGCATATCTTTCCTGGCATAACATGTTGGAGTTTGTAACTGAGGAAAATTTTTCCTCAAGAAGATTCAGTGAACGTCGTATTATGGCATTGGTTAAGATAAGCAATTCCTGACGATAAACAATTCATGAGCCTTGCGTATATACAAATCGTAGTCAGAACGTCCATCCAAGAGAGATAAGCGTAACAGTTCCACTTCGACTTCCGGCGCTCAAATGAGCGAGAAACAAGCTGCAGGGCAGGTCGCAGGTCCATGGAGGGGTGGGAGGAGCTACTGGTCATGTGAGCCAATGGGTGTGCTGGAAAGAGAGTGCATTTTCTTGCTCGTCAGGCATTGGTGAGGGCAAACTTTAAAG